TGTACATATACCACATTTTCTTGATCCATTCATCTACTGAGGGGCATCTGGGTTGGTTCCATATCTTAGCTATGGTAAATAATGCTGCAATAAACATAGTCGTGCTGGTAGCTTTAGTGTGGTCTTGTTTGTGAACATTTGGGTAAATGCCCAAAAGTGGGATTGCTGGGTCATGGGGGAGCTCTATGTGGAGTCTTTTGAGGAATCTCCATACCGCTTTCCAAAGTGACTGAACAAGTTTACACTCCCACCAACAATGTAGTAAGGTTCCCTTTTGTCCACATTCCCTCCAGCATCTGTTGTTATTAGAGTTCTTGATTATAGCCATTCTAACTGCGGTACATGGTGTCTCAATGTTGTTTTGATTTGCATTTCTTTTATGGCTAGAGAGGTTGAGCATTTCTTCATGTGTTATTGGCCATCCTTCTTTCCTTTTCAGAGAAGTTTCTCTTTAAGTCTTTAGCCCACTTATTTATTGGGAAGTTGTTTCTTTGAAGATTTGTTGTTGGGGGATTTAATTTTTTGAGTTCCAGTTATATGAGACCCTTGTCTGTTGTATGGCTAGTGAAGTTCTTCTCCCAATCCGTGGGCTTTCTATTGATCTTGGGAGCTATGTCCTTTGCCATGCAGAAGCTCTTAAAGCAACACATTTGAACAACATTACTTATATTTTTAAACACTTACAAAATGATTTATGATGCTTTACAAATATCCATTTCTAGGACTCTCCATGGTTTCAAAATAGTCTTGGGGAACCTACAAAATGTTTAGGAATGGTAGAGAATTGTAAAGCAAATAAATATACAAGACCAATTATATAAAAGTATTTGCACACTGAATAAGGGAACAAATATTTTCAGTTTTCAAAACTAAAAACAAACACCAGAAATTTTACATAATCTTCTCAAGTCTATGGTTGGTAATAGCAGAAGGAGGACTAAAGTCCTTGTCTTCTAATATTCATTCCAGTGTTGTTCTTAATACATTACATTGGTGCATGAACCAAAACAAACAAAACAAGTCAGCAAACTAGTTCTTTGTTTCTGTTGCATGGAAGTTTGACATGAAAATTGTTTAGTTGTTTGTTTTTTGCTAAAATCTTCCTGCCAGCTGGCCCCGTACACCTTGGCAACTGAAAGGAAAGCCTATCTGAACAGCTAAAGAATGAATTAAATTTTTTATTTAAGGCTTTTTATTTTCATTTGCACATATTAGTTGTACAAGGTGCTTCATTTCCGCATTTGTATATAGACATACAATGTATCCCATCAGCCTTACCCCCACTTCTTAAAACAATCTCAACAGTTTCATTTTTCTGCTTAGACATGTATATAAAGTATTTTGACTGTAATCACCTTCTTTTACACTCCCAATTTATCCTCCCCCTTCTCTAGTATATACCCCTTAACAGAACTTGTTTTACCTTCCTCTTGTTCATTTACTTGTGTATAGTAATTGTAGCTTGTTTTGCCATATTTCACAGACACATGTATCATATTTTAATCAGATTACTTCGCTGTCTTCCTCTTTTTCCTCATCTTCCCTAAACCCTATTGGGTTATGCCATCTTCATACCTAGATACATTGTATTTTGATATTTATCACTTCTAGCCATCTTCTGCAAATGACATTATTTCCTTTTTCTTTATGACTTGTAATGTTCTATTGTATATAATATTTACTTATTAAATAATTTATTTACTAGAGAATAAATTTTATATGGTAAATAAAATGAAAATGTATATATGTATACATCTTTAACAGCTTGTTTGGGTTGTAGGAGGGATGTTTTGTTTTGATACTAGAACTTGAACTCAGAACCTGGGCATTGTTCCTTAGGCTTTTTTGTTCAAAGCCGGTGCTCTACCACTTGAGCCACCGCTCTACTTTCACTTTTTTGCTGGTTAATTGGAGATATGAGTCTTACAAACTTGCCTGACAAGGATAGTTTCAAACTGTAATCCTCAGATCTCAGCTTCCTGAGTATCTAGGATTACAGGTATGAACCATCTGTACCCACCTAACTTAGATTCTTAAGGCAGCGACTTGTTAAATATGGGAAATGGAAATTATACCATACTAGAAAAGAATTGTAACTAATACATAAGAATTATGACTCGGTATTACTGTGGGTATTATTTTCTCTATTTATTTGTATTGCAGGGGACAATCATATGGTACAGTGATGTAAATACTTTGGTTGAATTTAAACCCCAAGTAACTTAACTTAGCTGAAGAGCAGAGTTACCTCAAGGGCATCATAAGTGGAGAGGTTGTTTGGGTGATAGTTATAGTGGCATGAATGACATACAGGACTGTTATAAAGAGTAGGTGGCCACGAATTTTCATGGTGGAAAGAAAGAAAATCAGAGCTCTTCTTTAGGAAAACTATTACAGCTGCAATTATTGATGCTTGTAGCAGAAGATCCTGGAAGCAAGGAAACCAGAAAAAGAGAAGGCTCTGGGGACAGCCTAGTGGGTGAGCTTCAGTTAGGGCTTTGACAGATGACCAGAAAGAAAACTGAGTCTGAAATAAACACACTTTTCACTTTAATTATAACTAGTACAGATGGTGGAAGTAAT